AGCCGCTCCCGTGCCTCGCGGCACCGCTCGCGTTTTAGCGGGTGAACGACCGTCCCGGAGCGCTCCGGGCGCCCCTTCCTCCTCCCGCCTTCGCCCACTTAGCGCGGGCACCGCTCGGCTTCCTCCGAACCAGCCCGCGGCCCTTTATTTCATTAGATAAAGGCCAGCGCCGCGTCTAAATGCACAGTTCAGTTTGACTTTGTGCTGTAGAAAATGGGGAGTAAACTGAAGCGAAAGGGGCGGCCTGTGAGGTGAAACCTGCATTTCTACTCCCCCTGGTGCGACTGAATGAGGTTAAGGGCCTGTCGCCAGTACTGAATTAAAAGCAGTAGTTTAAAAGGTATCTAAGAAATCACGATGGTAGAAGTGAGGTTGGGGCAGGGGGAGGCACGCGCTTGGGCAGCCCACTGGAGAGACACAAAAGTGTTTTCTGACCTTTTGTGATTAAAAGGTAACATTGAGGACACTGTCATGCTGCAGAAAAGGATGAAAAACATCCACTGCCCTGGCTCAAGTAGGGAAGCGTTGCTGAGTAGGCGACGGGCTTGGGATGAGCAGGAGGTTTTGTAACCTGTAGCGCAGGATAACGATGCGCGTTGCAGCAATCACTCGGGAAAGCAGCTAAGCTCACTGTGATGGTCAGTGAACGGAGGTTTCTTTTATTCTTCAGGTGAAGCAAATTGAAAAACGAGACTCTGTTTTAACATCAAAAAACCAAATTGACAGGCTTACCCGACCTGGATCTTCCTATTTCAACCTGAACCCCTTTGAGGTTAGTCTGAGCATCTTATTCTTCCTTTTGACTTGGTTACAGCAACTTCCTGCTTTAGCAGGTATTTGTTTCAGTAAAAAGACTGAACATTCGAAAGAAAAAAAAAAGTCTCCAGATGCAGATTACTACAATCAAGGCTTAGAGAATACAGAGGAATAGAGTACACTTGTTTTACTGGCTGTGGCAGAAGCAGAATTTTTGGGGCAAGCTTTCCTCGTGCAACAGCACAGAAAGATTTTGGCAGATAAATGCCTAGCACTTTTTGAAAGGAAACGTTAACGGCTCCAGGTGACATCATGCTTGCCAGGTTCTGTTCCCAGCACTCTTGGCTCAGTATTTTGGATATTTGTGTGTAATGCATTGAATGAGAAAGATCTTTAAAGAGTCACAGGAAAACAGATGGTTCCTTTCTGTTTTATTGGGGCTTCACTGCAGTTGCAATCAGATAAAGTCTGAATACAGATTTATACCGACAAAATCTATATAAATCAGGATAGAGTCGTAAATAGAAATGCTGAAGAAGAGCAGTACATAAAACAGAATCTGACATTCCACTGGAGCTGTTTTTTCATATGGGTATTTCATATATATATATATACATATATATATGTATGTTTATATATATATATATAATCCTGTTCAGCTGCTGCTTTGTATCCTCAGATGTTCAGCTTTCTGTAGCCCAACACAAGGCTGGTCAGCCCCTTCTGATCAGTCAGCACTTCCTTCTTGATATGTTCATTTATGCAGAGAATCTTATTGCCTTGGAGAGGCAAGAGAGCCCTTTAAAAGTAGTCAGTTCCTCCCCTGAAAGGCGTTTGGTGTTCTGTTGTTTTGTGGGGTTTTGTCTTTTTGTTTTTTCTTGTAGATTATTAGTGTCAGACCAAATGCATCTGCATTGAGTTAGCTCAGTGCAGGTGTATGTAGGTCAGACATTAATAATCTCTTGTTCTTTAGTGTTGATTCAGTAAATTAATTCATAAAAGAGTTCTTAAACTTTGCCACATCCCTATCACTACCTAGACTAGTGGGTTCATTCATGGAAAGCAACCAGTAAAACTCTCATTCTACTTTTAACAATAACAAAAAACAATAGCATTCTACTTTTAACAACAATGTTCCAGGGACCTTTCCATACCTGAGTTTTGCATAGGCAGCTGCCATCCCTAAATAGTCGCCTTACGTCTAAACCTTCAACCAGATCTACAGAAATGGAAGCAGAGTGGGGGTTGGCTTTGAGATGCTGTTGGATGATTCATAAATGAGAACTCGGAGCAAGAAACACACTATTTTGTAAAAACATATTCATTTTGTTGTTTTAAGAGAAGACAGGAGAGCTTTAACAGTCCCAAGCATGGTGTCCTCTGGAAATGTTTCTGTGTCAGTACATGAAAGTTTGTATCCTGAAGCAACTTCCTGATGGTGGGAAGCTCTCTGACTTTGTGTCTACAAACTGAGCGTTCAGGGCTTGCTCCTGAAAAATGGAGCCTGTCCTCAAACTTGCTCTGTTGTCGTGGTCTCTTTTAGGTTCTGCAGATGGATCCTGAAGCCACAGATGAAGAGATAAAGAAAAGGTTCCGGCAGGTACTTGGCTTTTGCACTGAAAGCCTTTGGAGGGAGAGCAGAAGCTCAGTAAAGACTAGGCAGTTGTGTTTGCAAACAAGCAAAACAGTGATGGAGCTGTGTTTGGAGAGACACTTTAGTTTTTAAGAAGAAATACATAGAACAATCTCTGTACCAACCCTGTGAGAGCTGCAGGGGTGTTTCTGATCCACGCATGGTGGGCTGCTTTGCCTATAAAGTATGTGACCATGCCAGTACAAATTGATATCCCCTGTGTAATCATTGTTGAATGAACTATATTAGCCTAAAGAAAAGGTGAAAATCTATCAGAAATTAAAGTCTCAAACGAAAGTTTGACTCAAATATATGGACCACATTTCAGAAATAGATTTTCTGTGAAATTTCTTCAATATTTTCAGTGCATGTTCTTCGTTGCTGGGTTACCTGTGACAGCAGCAGCCCTCTGCTCACTGACTCCTGCATTATTCTGTAGCTATTTCAATGTAGTAACTCTGAGTGATCTGCACGGGGGAAAAAAAAGTCTTGTCAGTGCATCCAGCAAAGAAATGCAGGGTAAAGAGGGTTGCAGAGTCCTACAAGAACTGGCTTTAAACGGAGAACTGTGCTGGCTGTCTCATGGTGACAGCTCAACGTTCCTAGTGAGTTGATTGTGTGGTGCAGGTTGTAGGAGCAGTGGGATAACTCTTTAGTCCTTTATTGACTTTTAATTTCTGCAAATAATAAATTGGGCTTTAGGGCGGTAGATTAAGTTCTGAAGACAGTAAGATGAAATAAAGTGTGTATCAAAGAAAACAAATACCTAAATATAGAAGGTGAAACAGCTGAAAAAAGAAAAAGATGCTGGCTGAAACTGAGCACTGAGTAAATCAGGTAAACATCAGTCAGGGCTGATCTTTCTAGATTTGCTTCTACTTAAGACTGAGGATGCACATTGGTTTAATGGACTAATAGTTTCATATCAGCCCTAGACTACTGCATTTCAAAGCTGTTTTTGTTCCGTAGATCCGAAGTTGTGGCTTTTCTCAGACAGTGTGTTCGTAGCTGCAGTTGTACTTGGTTTTTCTCCATAAAGCCTTTGCTGAGCCGAATGTCGTCAGCTTCCTTGCCTGTTTGCAATGGAGTGTGATCCCTTAAGATTCCTTCTGCCTGTGACTATTTGCCTCCTCACAGAAATCTCTGGAATATTATTTATCTTTTAGAATGGTCTTGGTAGCAAGATCCTTTCTCTTGCAGTTGTCAATATTGGTACATCCTGACAAAAATCAAGATGATGCGGATAGAGCCCAGAAGGCCTTTGAAGGTAACGCTCTCACACCTCTTTATGGGCTGCTGTGTGATAGTGGTTGCTCTGGTGTGTTTCTGTAGCAGGTTTAAATGATTTATTAGAGCTGGAGGCCCCGGCTGTGAAGCTGTTTCAGGAGAGTGGGGTGACGTTTCAGCAGCAGAACGTCACTAGGTGGCAGCAATGACATTGTTAGAGCGCGTGGGGTTAAACTTGTCCCATAATGTGTATCGATTGTTCAAGACAAGCTGTTTAATTCATGCATTAGATTTGATTCAAAGACTACAGGCCAGCAAATGTTTTGGTTTGCGCTTTGTTACTGCTGGGAGTCCTGCAGCTTAAACCTTCCTCATGGCTTTGTAACTTTTAACTGTCATTTTCACCCTACCAACTGCAGAAGGATGGCTGATGGTCTGGCTTTACTGAACTGTGAATCTCATCTGAATAATCAGGTTATTGCTTGCCTAAATATATTCAAAATAATAATAAAAGCTCTAGGAAGCGAATTTCAGGTGGTTACAAAGAACAGTCTTGCAGTGCTCTTTAAATATGACTGCTGATGCTATTAATGTTCATGCTTTTCATTAGCTGTAGATAAAGCCTACAAGTTGCTACTAGATCAAGAGCAAAAGAAGAGGGCCTTGGATGTGATACAAGCAGGAAAAGAATATGTGGAACATACTGTAAGTACTCCATATGAATTCCCAGATGTGGGATGAATGGGTCATCGGTGCTGTGTAATATGCTTTTATTTTTACATATGCTGTATTTTTAGTTCATTAAAACAAGGCTGTGCAATTGGACTGTGAGCCTTTATGCAAGATCAGTGCTGAACTCAGTGCAGGATAATTCATTAAAATTCAGCATTGCAGTAATTATGTTAGACCATATGATTCAACCTAACTGTTTCTTTTGAATCTGTGAATGAGTGATGCAGATCAAATGTGTGTAGGTGGAAGAATATAGGTGGTGACAGTGAGAGACTGGGAAATTTGGGAGAAAATGGCCTATAAGATAGGGAAGGCAGCAAGGATTACACTAGCCAAGAAGTTAGCTGAGTGATATGAGCAGGCTAAAACACAGTAACTTTGATAAATAAAATGATGTGGGAGAATGTGGATACTCTAAACCTAAGACCACTTTGTGTTTTGCTGGATGTTGTTAGTTTTTCGAATATTCCAAAGCAAACTGAACTTCTTTCTGGTTTGGATGTTGCATATTGGATATAAATATATCCTTTTTAAAATAAACAAGCAAACAAATGCAGATTCAAACCACAGGGATTGTGCTACTGTTATAGCACCTAATACAGCATTTTTTGTTATTAGGGGTCAGGTACAAGTGGTGTTGTATGTAGAAGGGCCAGGTGTTTTGGATCTAGACTAAATCAATATCTTGCTGTCATCTTTAGCTCTTACACAGTGAAGTAAGAATGCAGAGATACTGAGGTACTATGTTGTAAGCCATGTAAAACTTTGAGGACTCTTCTGTTTTCTAGGTGAAAGAAAAAAAGAAGCAATTGAAGAAGGATGGAAAACCTCCCATTGTAGAAGAGGATGATCCTGAAGTTGTAAGTTGCCTGCTGTTCAAAGAGGCTGGGAGTTGCACAACAGTCTGCAGAATGTTTCAAGAATTGGGAATCAAGGCCAATCAAAAAAAAAAAAACTATCAATTTGCTATAATGTTGTAGGTCTTGTGACCTGCTGAAAAACAAATCCTGCAAAGTCATTGTGGGAGTGTTGAGTTGGATAATACTCATGTATTTTAGAAAGTAGTTTACTGCAAAATAAATTCATCATGAGATGCTGTGCATCAAAGTATTCAAATTCTTTTCA